CAGGTCCCACAGATGCGAACTGCAGGAATTGCAGGTTTTCCCTGGAGCAGTGAGGCTGAGCTGGGCGTGTGGCTGTTTTCCTGCAGGGGTCCCTGACAGATTTCCTGAAGGCCAACGTGGTGTCGTGGAACGAGCTGTGCCACATTGCCCAGACCATGGCGCGGGGCCTGGCCTACCTGCACGAGGACATCCCGGGGCTCAAGGACGGCCACAAGCCGGCCATCTCCCACAGGTACTGCCCTGGCAGTGCAGGGAGAGCTGACAACCCTGCAGGCAGCCCATCACCACCTCCTGGTCCTGCAGGAATTCCTGGATCTCCCCTCCAAGGCGCTTTTTTTCCAAGCGTTTTGTTTCCTGCTATTTAAACAAAGTTGCAGTCACTGCACACTTGGACTACAACATTCTCGTTCTATCTCTGTATCCCACATGCATCATCCATCTCCATATCTCCATATATCCCTGTATCCCTATATCCATCATTCATCTATATTTATTTTAACAACAAGCACAAAATTACAGTTCCAGTTACTGTCTCATTTATTCCCATTAAGGTCTGCATGGGCACTCCAAGGTTTTATGATTATTATTTTGTTGTTCAACTTACCTATTTCTTTATAATTTTCTTGCCTTTCATGCCATAATGTTGCCTGTTTTCTGCTGTTCCTTTTTCCTTAGAGTTTTACCTGCATTTCCTGTTCTAGATCTCTAATTTGTGGTTTTTTCTTGAACTTGAAAGGGACATCAAAAGCAAGAACGTGCTGCTGAAAAACAACCTCACGGCTTGTATTGCTGATTTCGGTCTAGCTTTAAAGTTTGAGGCTGGAAAGTCTGCAGGAGACACCCATGGACAGGTAAATCCCGAGTTATTTCCAGGAATGATCCAGCTGCTACCTGGATGTGAATGGGAACCTCCCCTCAGGCTCTTTGCATGGCCTATCCCCCCCTTTTATCCCCACTGGACGATTTGGACAAGAACTTTTGTAATATTTTATTAATTATTTAATTACTACTCAAAAACTGGGTGATGAAACTTCCATGATTTAGTCCTAAGGCAGGACAATTTGGACAAGAACTTTTGTAATATTTCATTAACTATTTAATTACTACTCAAAAACTGGGTGATGAAACTTCCATGATTTAGTCCTAAGGCAGGACAATTTGGACAAGAACTTTTGTAATATTTCATTAACTATTTAATTACTACTCAAAAACTGGGTGATGAAACTTCCATGATTTAGTCCTAAGGCAGGAACAGCCACGGCCGCGTTTAACGTGGGACAAAGCAGGGGTTTGATGTGGCAGCAGGCAGGGCGGTGCCCGTGCTGGGATGATTCTGGGCACAAATGTGGGTGTTTTGGTGCCCTTGCAGGTGGGCACCCGCAGGTACATGGCTCCCGAGGTGCTCGAAGGTGCTATCAACTTCCAGAGGGACGCGTTCCTGCGGATAGACATGTACGCCATGGGCCTGGTGCTCTGGGAGCTGGCCTCGCGCTGCACGGCCGCCGACGGTGAGCGACCTTCCCATGGCACTGCCCGGGCAGCTGCAGCTCCCTGCCCTGCCTGGGCTGGGAGTGCCTTCAGCCCAAACCACTCCGGGCTCTGGTTGTGGCACTGCCGTTTAAGCCGTGTTTCCCCCTGCAGGCCCCGTGGATGAGTACATGCTGCCTTTCGAGGAGGAGATTGGCCAGCACCCCTCCCTGGAGGACATGCAGGAAGTTGTGGTGCACAAAAAGAAGAGGCCTGTCCTAAGGGAGTGCTGGCAGAAACATTCTGTAAGTGTGACCCAACCGACGGTGAATCCCACGTTCTGTCCATGCCTCACACTGGGGTTTGGGAGGGGTTCCGTAATTCCAGTAGGAGTTAAATGGGCTGTAAACGTTCCTCATCTCAGACTGCTCTTGCTTCAGTACTAGAAAGTGAGGGATTTTTTCTGTTTTTTGGTGGAAGAAGAGATCCTGGAGTTACTTTGCAGTTTGCAGTTCAGTCCTCACCTTTTAAAACACTGGGAGGCTCCAGCGCTGCAGGGAAGGGTTTGCCCCCTGCTGTTGTTGAACAGTTTTTGTTCAATAGTGCAGAGCAAAGCAGAGCTGAGGCCCCACGGCACACTCCAGGCTCACCCCACCCCCAGCCCCACATCCTGTGGGACAGCAAGGCTCCCGTTTGGCAGGTGTCCCTTGCTGATGTGTGCCCTTTCCTGGCTGCTCTCCCGCAGGGAATGGCGATGCTGTGCGAGACCATCGAGGAGTGCTGGGATCACGACGCCGAGGCGCGGCTGTCGGCGGGCTGCGTGGAGGAGAGGATCATCCAGATGCAAAAACTCACTAACATTATAACAACAGAGGACATCGTGACTGTGGTCACAATGGTGACAAACGTTGACTTTCCTCCCAAAGAATCCAGTCTATGATAGTTGCACTGGTCATGAAGTGACCACAGGACTCTTCACTGGAGCTGCTACAGCGCACGGACTGCTGGCGTCACTGCTGTTCCAGGTGGCAAGAACGGATGGTAAGTCTCTCTGGAACATCACCAAGAGGTGTTTATCCTTTGTTGTCCCCCTCGTCCTCCTCCTCCTCCTCCCCAACGTGGATCCATGAGACTTTCTGCATTCCCTGCTTACACCTGAAGGACGTGACTGAGAACCCTCACGTGCTGATAAGGAACTTACAATGAAGAATCCGGACCTGAACAGGCTAATGAGAATTTTAAACACTGACATCCGATTTCTTAATCCCTGTCAGAAGAGACTAATTCCTTTAAATGAACTACTGTTATTTTTTTTAAATCAAAAACATTTCATTTCAGATTTAAAAACAACAAAAAAAAAAGGGTAACTTGTTTTTATTGCATTCGTTGTTGTTTATAAAATGACTATTGTAATGCGACTACGACACAGCTTGTGAATGTTCCGTGTGCTGCTGTTCCGTGTACAGAAACAAGAGTAATCAATGGGATAGAGCAAAGAGGCTTCCAAGTATTACTTAACCTCCCTCAACCAGGTATACCTCAGTTCCACCTCGCTAAATTATGATTGACAACACTAATTGGAATAATAAACCGCTCCGTGTTTTGTAAATGATGTATTCCCAATGCCCTGTGTTATTTAAGAAGGGGAAAGCTTCATGCCCCCAGGAAGTGGCCATTCCTAGAGCCGTGTTTTTAGCCTTTTCTTGTACTCGCTTGTTGTGTATAAAAAAGAAAAAGTGCTGTTTATTGAAAGAAGATTTTCCTTCCTCTTTTAGTTGAAAGCTTTTCCCTCCATTTCCCAGAGTATCTCATCCATTTATTTAACTGAATACTATTTAGGTTTGCTGTGTCTGAGGAATATTTGAAACCTTAAGCATGAATTATTTTTTTTCTTTTTGTTTTTTTTTAATTTTCTCTGAGCTGTGACACTGGAAAGCTCTGAATTCTTGTTGTTTTTTTTTGAAAAAGTCTTTTTCCTATTTATGTTTGTGCCGAGGTCGCCGCGCGTTCCCTGTCCCGCCAGGCAGTGGGGGCTGTGTCACTGTTTCAGGATCACCTCAGGAAGCTCAGTTCCCCCCATTCCTCACCCTCTGCTTGGAGATTTGCAGCTTCCCTCCACTCAAAGCTCGGTGCCATGGGAGGGGAGTGCAGCTCACTGCCTGTGAGCCTGGAGTCACACACAAAGGTCTCGATCCTAAATGTTACAAATTTCAGGGATAACCTAGTTCTGCTCACAATATGCAATGACCATTCCGAGGTAACGAAAGGAATTTCAATGGCCAGAGCACAGACTCACAGAAAACGAGGAAAAACATGGAAATTCACAACTCCAGCACTGGAGTTCAGGGTGTCAAGCGTTGTGCTGGAATTGCAGTGGCTGGTAGCTGGGTGCCAAAGTGCTTCTCCCAAATCCTGCCCCACTGCATTGATTGGATCCTTCACACCAAATTCCAAGGAAAATAAATGCTGTAAGCCCCTGGAGCAGAGCCGGCAGCGGCCCATGGTGTGCTGTGTGTCCTTGTCTCCGTGTGTCCATCCCGGTGTCCCTGGAAAGCAGCAGGTGGCAGCTCCTGAAGGCTGGCTGGAACCTGGAGCCGGGAACTTCATCCCTGGGAGCAGAGGGATGTGATGGATGGAGCAGAGCCAGCTCTGGGCAGGGAGGGAGGAAGGAAGGAAGGGCTGATGTTCCAGCCAGGGCTGTGCCCGAGGATCCTGCTCCCAGGGGCTGTTGGAGAAGGGAAGGAAATCCAGTTTGTGGGGTCCTCTTGGCTGGACACTTCCCTTTGTGCTCCACTTTTAATTAAACTTCACACAGAGCAGGACAGGAGCGGAGTTCCGAACAAATTCCACCACGGACTCCTCGGGGCTTTTGCCCCTTCCCTGGCAGAACTGGAGCCACGGGCTGGTTTCACTCTGTGCCGTTGGAAATCTGAGGCAGGAATTGAAGCTGTATCCAAGCCCCTCCTTGTGTGCGACCCTTCCCAAGGAACTGCTGCAGGCTCGGGGCTGGCTCCTGCCTTTGGGATATCCCTGCTGTTCTGTTCCACTCCCAGCTTCCTGGCATTACCAGCATCATGTAGCGTCCCTGAGGAAAGGCTGCTCCTCCCCAAAGCTTTTCATGGCTCAAAACGATCTCCCTGAGCTGCTCTGCTCCAGCTGTGCCCCAGGGCTGGGGAAGGAATTCCCGTTTCACTTCAGAGCATTCAGTGAGTGAGCTGGGAGCAAGGGCAGGATCTGGGAATGGGGGCTAGGGAGGATTCTGGCATTGTTGGGGCAGTGCCCTTGGTCCCTTCCTGCCTGGCCTCCAGCTGTGACTGCTGAGGGTGACAAGTTCCTGTCCCACGTCCCCAGAGCTGCCCATCCTGGGGTATTCCCAAGCTCCCCTCGAGCATGGAATGAGCCAGGAACTGCAGCGGTGCAGTTCTCAAACCTCACCTGTAACCAGTGCTGAGACTTGTCCTGCTCCCATCAGCATCCACAATCAGTCATCACCCCCTCTCCTCTTTCCCAGCTTTTTTTACCTTTTTAAAGACATTTCTGTTGATCAGGAACACTTGGTACAAAACACAGGAAGCTGCAATACACGTCCCTGGGCAAAAGGACTCCAGTAGCATCCTTGATGGAACATCTGTTACCTCAGATACTCAACCAGCAGGACTGCTTTGCTTTCTCCCTCCAGTTTGTTTTTTTCAGTCCATCTCCTCTTCGTTACCTCTCGAGTTTGGTGAGCGATTACTTTAACTTTCCTCTTTGTATTTGTCAGTGTTTTGGGCACAGGTTGTTGTACTACTGTTAAAAGGCACTTGCTGCTTTTCTGCAGGTGCCAAAAAACCAACCAACCCCCCTTGCCCTCAATAAAGTGATTGTTAAATATTGTACAAATACAAATGTATACTCTGCCCTCTTCCCCAGCGGGAAAATAAAAAATGTGACTACTCTGACTTGCAAATGCTTCTTTGAAAACTTTTATTTTACAATAAACACATGGGGCTGGTCCTACAGCAGCTCTTGAGCCAAACTCTTTGAGTTTTGCTCCAAAAAATTGGGTATGGAAAGATGTTACCTTGTACTTGGCATGAAACAGGCTGTTGGATTAAACATTTAATGAAGTAAATTCAGCTGTGATTAAAGATTTAATTGGATAAATTTTCCATGTCAGGTCAGATTTGAGATGGAAAAGTGCAGTGTGAGCTGTGACCCAATGGGGCTGTAGAAGGGAGCCAGGAGGGCAGCATGGCCTGAGCCAGCATCCAGAGCCCTCAGCCACGGGGAGAAGCCCCAGAGCTTGGATTGCTCCAACTGGGAACGGAGTGTGAGAGCAGGAGTTGGCACTGAGCTGAGCTAAAGCACCTGGGAGTGAGTGAGGCACAGTTCTGGCTGCTGGAAGGGAACAGCAGCACCGTTCTCCCTAGAAAATCCCAAACGGATCAGCCAAGAAAGCTGATCCAAAACTCAGTGATCCGAGCACCTTCCTGCGGGTAAACATTCCCTGTGACGGGGCTCCCAGCATCCCAGCGGGGGCAGTGGAGCTCAGAGCCAGCTGAGGGAGGAGGCTGCCCACTGCTTGACGTCGGTGGGGCAGTTGGGGTACACCTGCAGGGCCTCCATGATCTGGCTGCTGTCCAGCAGCAGCTTCATCAGCAGGTACTCGCGCTGCGCCCGCGCCGACGGCCGCTCCAGCGGCTGCACCAGCTCCAGCTGCAGCAGGTGCTCAAAGGCCTGCCAGGGAAAAGGGCTCTGCAAGGGAACAGCATTCCTGCCCCGGAACACCCACTCCCTTCTAGGGCTGTGTCTGACCACCCCAATCTGTGCCCTGCTAAAACTGAAATATTTCACAACTCAAAACAAAACGCGTTTCAGGCTCACCTTCATGACCACTGGCTTCTCAAAGTTGTACATAGAATGTGCCTTCCTCTGGATGAACTTCTGGAATTCTGCAGCAGCAGGAGAAGAAAGGGGCAGTTAGAAGGAAGTGAGGGGGGTAGGGTTTGTGAAGCTCAGGCATTGCTCTCACCATTGTAAACCATCTGGAAGTTGAAGGGTTCTCCATCATAGACCTCGTTCAGGTGTTTCATGGCTATGATGAGGCAGATTTCCAGCACAGACAAACCTGCAGGGAAAGAAGAATCCCAAGTATTTCCCTTGAGCACAGCCAGTTCACCCACTCTGTTTATTCCTCTCTTTTTATATGCTCTGGGCCTCACCCATTGGTGTTCTGTATCTTTATTATGTAAAGAAATTCCAGACTTTGAAGTCTTAGAGAATTCCCAGAATGCCCAGGTTGGAAGAGACCTTCAGGATCATCAAGTCCAACCCAGCCCCAGCACCTCAACTCAACCCTGGCACCCAGTGCCACATCCAGGCTGTGTTATACACACCCAGGGATGGGGACTCCACCACCTCCCTGGGCAGCCATTCCAGAACTTTATCACCCTTTCTGTAAAAAAAAACTTTTTCCTGATATCCAGCCTGTATTTCCCTTGGTGTAGCTTGGGACTGGAGAGGATTGACAAGAGAACATTTGTTTGCTGCGTATTTGAAGGAGAAATGTTCAGGATTGGGCTGTTCCCACAAAAAGGAGAGAACTGGAGGTGTCCAAGTTGGACCCACAGGCAGGTGTGACTCAGCAGACTCCACGGGCAATGCCTGTGCAGCTCACAGCCACAGGGAACACCCCACACAGCATCTGCTCCACCTGGAGAACTCCAGGCAGGGACTCGACCCCTCCCCTGCTTGCAGACCAGGCCTGGGGAGAAGCTGGGCTTTACCATGGACAATGTTGGCCTTGGAGTCGGTGCTGTGCTGCCTGCTGGCCTCCTGCAGGTCTGCAGCCGTGAGCAGCGGGTGGTGCACGGTCACTGCGCTGCCAGCCAGCATCTGCAACACACACAGAGCTCCCTGCAACACACACACAGCTCCCTGCACTTGCTGCCTGCATCTGCAACACACACAGAGCTCCCTGCAACACACACAGCTCCCTGCACTGCCAGCCAGCATTTGCAACACATACAGAGCTCACTGCATTCCTGCCTGCATCTGCAACACACACACAGCTCACTGCAATACACACACAGCTCCCTGCACTCCTGCCTGCAGGAACCCTGGAACAGCCATGGATACACCCCCCACACAGCAGCTTCACGCTGAAAACCCTGCAAACAGCTGGCACTGCAATTTCATCTTGCCAGGAAGGTTTTCCAGGTTTAAAACCTTCAAGCTTCCTGATTCCAGGAGATAAATCCTGATGAACCTGTTTATATCCATGGCAATGGATCAGCACCTCAGAGGCTGCTGCAGGAATGACTTACAGCTGTTCTGCACCTGCTTTTGTACCCAGGGACAGCCACAGCTGCTCTGGCAATTCCAGCCCAGCCAGGAATTCCCAGTTCCCAATGTCCCATCCATCCCTGCCCTCTGGCACTGGGAGCCATTCCCTGGCTCCTGTCCCTCCATCCTTGTCCCCAGTCCCTCTGCAGCTCTCCTGGAGCCCCTTCAGGCACTGGAAGGGCTCTGAGGTCTCCCCAGAACCTTCTCTTCCCATGGTTTGTCCAGGACCTCCTCACTCATCCCTCCAGAATCTGTATTACATGCTTTTATTGGATTCAAAACAAAAGGTCTCTTTCCAAAGGAAGAGCTCAGCACATGCTGCAGACAAGGGGAAAGCTGAGCCTCAGCTCTCACCTGCTCTCAGGGAGGCTCTTGGTTGCCATCAGCTCCTTTCCTGGCCTCCACTGCAGCCACAGGCACAGATTTTTGCCCTGCTCTAGGAATAATCTGCAATCTTGTCACCAGCTCCAGCGCCCAGAGCAGCACCAAGAGGGCTCTGCTCTGGTTCTCAGGGCGGCTCTGAGCACTGCAGGAGGAGCCAGCCCAGCCCAGAGCAGGAGGGCACACATCCCAGGGGCAGTCAGGGGGCTTTGCACACTGACACGAGCACAGGGATAGTTTAGGGTGGTTAAATAAGTGTTATGTATCCTCTGTAAAAGTGTCAGTGCATTTATATGAGCTGTGTTCAAAAGCAGAATTAGGGAGGCAGCTTAATTTTCAAAAAGACCCTCCAAGAGAGCTGCAGCTCCTCTGTGGTGATGGAAGTTGAAGCAGAAAAAACAGAAGGCTTCAATATGAGATGTCAGGATTCACCAGGAACCAAAAACAATCTCAGAAAGGAAAACATGGTTTCAAAGGGTTTCACCTATAGTTTTGTTTTATAAATGGGAAGGCTTGGAGAAAGTTAAACAGCAAAAGCTCAGCCCCACCTGAATGGAGCAGTCCATCCTCACAGGGTAACTGCTACAGAACTGGAGTTACCCCTCACTGACACAGCACAGGCTGACACAGCCTGCAAGGAGCAGCGCTGGCTCAAGTGCAATAAAATGCTGCTCCAGGCAAAGCTCAGCTAATGGCCTGAAAAGCACGAGAGCTGCTCACCAATCACTGCAAGGAGGTGTTTGATAAATCCAAATACACACCAGGAGCAAATGCAGCGAGCGCAGGTCTTTGGTGTGGTGGAAGAGGTTCTGCAGCACGTCCTGCACGGTTTTATCCTCTGAGAGATGCTGCAAGAAACAACAAAGCCATGTTTTAGCCATCTCATACTCACTTTTAATCATTTCATACTCACCTGGAAAAATAACAAGTAAATATATATTTTAAAAGAGCTCAGCTTACACCTGACAATACAATTTTCATATCCAACCTCAACTTTCTGGTCTTTCCTGTGACAACTTTACCTCCAGACTTCAATAAGCAAAGATGCTCCATAATAATTGAATTTATTCCATATCACACTCAACCAGTGAAAGGAAATGCCAGTCTTAGGTAAAAGCTTTACACTTTAACTGGTATAGAATATGTGTATAAAGTAAACCAGCTTTACACTGCTCTCACTTTAGAATTTTTCCTAAAATGAAGTATAAAATGCTTAAAGTACCTGAACGTTATTATTCCATTTTTGTGCAAAAGACTCATCAGGAAACTCAGCAGGAAGAGAAAGCTGGCTCTTAAATATCTTAATGTATTGTTTAAAATCAAAGGAATTCATCAAATATATCTGTCTGTGGGAGAACCTTGACTTTACTCTCTTCTCCAGGAGCTCCAGGATATCCTTGATGGGAAAAAAAAAAAAGAAAAACAATAATTATAAAAGCAGATCAATTTAGTGTTTCTTTGCTACAGCACAGACAAATCACTGAAGTGTGCTGAAAAAAGAAAGAATTATTGAATTCTGAGGCTTCAAATGCTGTAACATAAGTTCAATGCTCTAACAAGCCCTTTGCTGATGATTTCAATTGATGTGCCTTGCAATGGCACCAACCACCGGCCCACGTGATGCTGCACATCACACAGGATCATTTGTTGCTAGGAAACCCAGCAGAATGTCTCCATAGATTATGGAAATATTTCAGCTGCTTAAGGCTGAATCAAGCCTTGCAGCCTATCAGGGCTCTGGACACTCACGCCGGGGTGGCAGCTGACAGGCCACGTGCTTTTGTCAGCCTGAGAGAATTCAGCTTAAAAATCCCAAAAAATACTTAAGAGCCGAAAAAACCTCCTCAGAAACAGCAGCTGTCACTCTGGAGACACTTCCTTAATTACACTCCAAACAGGGGATAAAAGGTTCTAAACACACAATGGGTGGGGAGCACACCAGAGTCAGGACAGTGAGGATGCAAAAGGAAAGACTGTAATTTATTAAAACAACAATTAACTTCTCTTATTAACTTCCAGAAATTTGCCCAGCTGGGTAACACCTGATCCCAGTCAAACCCAGAATCTGGCTTTGATAGGAGCTTGATTTAATTTTAATTATTTATTATTTTAATTATTTTTAAATTTTAATTATTCTTCCTGCCACAACCCAACTATCTCCAGCACCAACAGTTCCATGTGAAAAGAGGAGCAGTTTTATCCAGTTTCCACAGTGTTCCCAGGAATTATTTCACACAACCTGCCCACAATTCAACATAATGCCATTGTAAAATAGCAAACTGAACAGGGATCCTGAACTCATTTTCTAGCCAAAGGGAACTTTTGCTAGAAAATGGGATCCTGAACTTATTTTCTTTTTTCTTGTTTTTTTTTTGGGAAACCATCCTACTGAAGTGGTTTAAAAAAAAAAAGGAAATTTAAACACAGTTACTACAACTCTGTCCTTGCCAACTGCCAACCAAAAAATTCAGGAGCTCCTCCAAAGAGTGAGCCATGGTCTAATATTGAATGTGTGTCCTTAGAAATGTTGGTTTGCTCCTTTAACAGTGAAACTGAAGGCTTTGGGCATCTTCAATTGCTGTCAGCACAAATTATTATTATTTCCTGGCATGAGGAAATGCCATTTCTTACCTGCCTGCAGGTGAGCCCAATGACTGTCACTGGGGTCTGTGCAGACTGCGAGATGTCGAAGAGGTTGTAGAGCAGGGTCTGGTTCTTGTGGTGGACAAACAAATCAAACTCATCCAGCACAAACAAAATTGGGCAGCTGCTGGTTCGGTCTCCTGAGAGAAATGTGGAGAGTTAGCAGGGCAACTCCAGCATTAGACTTCCATTGCTACAGCTTTCTTTAATGATGGGGTTAAATAAAAATGCACAGATTTTCTTTCAGCTTTTCACTAAGCCCTCCTTTCCTGCACATCCAATGGCAAAAAGGGAAATACATGGAAAAACTGGGAAGGTTCTGTAGTGTTCTGTCAAACAGCATTTTGGCTACAAGGAACACAGACTTGGCCAATTTTGTTTTAAAAACAACATAACAATTTTTAATTGCATCAACCTGGATAAAAGAATCTGTCCTTCACAGCTAACATCACATGCAAGCCTTACAAGTTACAGCAGGTGTATATATCACTATCAGGTGTATATACTATATTCAGTGTAGTAATCAGTATTAATTATTTTTACTATTACTATTTTTTACTATTATTTTGTAACTGTGGCACATTTTTGGGCTAAGTTTCTTCATTCCACCTGTAAAATAGAATTAAAAATCTCCACTTTCCAGTCAAGTGACCCAGAGTTTCACAACAGGGATTTTTAGTGTTTACCTTTCCTCAGAGCTTCAAGGAGGAAGGCAAGGTTCTCAGCAAAACTGCCCTAGACAGAGAATAAAGAAGTTTCAGAACAGACTTGTGGTGTCATTCTCAGAAGTGTGTAACTACAGTAAATTCAGACATGCAATGGAGGCCAGTTCCTTAAGGAATACTAATAATAATAAATACTGAAAGAACGCTATAAATACTCAATACTTTGCAATAACTTTGGAATACTTAAGTTTGTTTTTCTGGGGCTTGTTAAGCCAGAGTTCCCTTTTTCCTCCTGTAAGGCACAAGTTGGTGGGTTTTTAAAAACAGTAAGGATGCATCAGTACTGCTCCATCAGCACAGGGAACCCCAGCTCCTGGCAGTCAGAGCCCAGCAGGTCCTGCAAGCTCCATCCCACACAGCCCCAGTGTCCCAGCAGAGGGTTTTGGAGGGCTGGGTGAAGTCACTCACAAAAACTTTGTCCCCAACCACATTTTCCAGCTGCAGCTGCCTGGTGATCTCCTTCAGGGCCACTTTATCGTTTGTTTGCAGAAGCCCTGAAAGAAAAGGATTCCTCATGAAGAGCTGGCAGCTCCTTCACTCCCACTAGAAACTTAACAGCAGCTTCTCTCCCTTCCCAGCCTTGCAGAGCTTTTTGCCTTTTTAAAGATCAGACTGGACTTGCCTTTCTGTACCTGACACGTGGCTTAATTCTGTCACTGAGAGCACAGAAGTTCCCTCCATACAGAGAAATTGTACAAAGAGAGGCACTTTGGAGCTCACAGACAAACACGGCCCTAATTTAGGCTGGACTAAATTGCTGAAAGCAAGAATTTCACTCAGGACATACAAAATACAGAGCTGAATATAACAGAACCCTGGATCAGTGATGTTTTACTTGCCATTCAGATGGACTTCCAGGAGGTTCTCTCTCACTTGTTCCATTTCCCTGAGGTCCTTTAAGACATGATTTAATAACTAGGAAAGAAAAAATACAGAATTTCTGTGAGAAGATTAATTTTTTAACAGCAAGGAAAGTGTAACTACAGATATTATAGGATAGGAAACAGTGTGCAAGGTTTCCTTAGGGAACATGTTTGAGTAATTTCCAGACTGAAACACTAAAATGACAACTTTGCATTCACCAGCCATGATTGTGACAATTACATTTGCTCATTCTGCTGAACTGGGAGGGAAAGGAAAATAACTCTGGTATTTCAGTCACTTATTTTTTGGGGTAATATCTGGGGCTTTTGCCTTAATCATAAAGCTTTATGAATTTGAGATGTGAGAGAATTTGACTCTTGAGCTGGTGCCATATTCAGCTTCCTGGCTTCTTTGGATGCTGTAGAAAGAAATTCTCTGCTTTAAATCTTAAAAGAAACTCTGCTTATTCTTTTCTTCTGGAAGACAAAATTAAAATGGCATGATTGCACCAACTGCTCCTTATAAAACTTCCAAATTTGCTGTCCATCAAGAACTTGTAACTAGTACAAACTTGTATTAAAACATCTGTAAGTAGTGGAAATGTTAAATTTAAAAATTAAAAGGTACTATTTGCTTTGGCTTCTTCAGAAGAGGATTTGTAGCTCCCACCTAAGTGCAAGTATAAATATATAAATATACACACACACGATTTTCTTTACTCCAGCATCTTTCACTTGATATATAAAAAGGAAGTAATTCATTCTGCATAGGTGATTTTGCTAATTCATATCCTGTCTGAAAGGACCACAAATTTTCATCTTATCATTTAATATAAACATTAAAGACTTGAGTGTTTGAATAATGTTGAAGAATCAAACACTTAAGTTAGAGGTCATCCCTGCATGTGCCTCAGCTAAGGGGAATTCCCTTAAAACACAAAACCTACACTTAGAAACCACAACCACCAAAGAATATTCTGCACCATGGCAGGTGACAATATTCCTGACCATTCCCTGTATACACACAGCTGTGGAGAAACCCACCCCTCAGACAACTCCTTTTAGAGCTTTTGGATGCCTTTTCATAATTTTTACAGTGAGGGCCCAAAACCAGTTTAATTAAAGAGTAATCAGAACATGGCTTTAATTGCAAAGACAAGCGTTAGGAACGGATTTCTCCATGCTGCTCCTGAACAGAATTCCACAGCAAGTCCTGGAATGTGTTTCATTTCTATGCAAACATTAGCAATTCTCTCTGTAAAAGCAGGCAGAGCTGCAAAGGCTCCCAGGAGGTGAGTGAGGCTCTGCTGGACCCACAGAAAGCTCCAAGAGCTGCTCCTACCGCCGTTTTCCCGGACCCCCGGGGGCCAATGATGAGGGCGGAATTACTCTCCCCGTGCACCGTGGTTCTTTTCAGCAGCTCCAGCAAATGTCTGTGTTGAAAACAGAAACAGGCTGAAATCCTCAAAGCTGACAGCATCCCCCAAACCCAGGGAAAATTCAAAGAGTAAAACTCAATCCGCTTCGGCGTGCTCAGAGAGAACACTCAGGGCATGCAAAATGTAATACAATAAAGCACAAAGGGCTCCGTGATCAGAGCTCTTAAAATACTTTAAAATATTAAAACATGCAGAAGTTGAGACTATCACTAATTCATAAAGTTCTGCAATTCTCGGCCGTGAAAGGACAGACTTCAATAATTATTTCTTTCTTTAGGAAATAGATTGCTTTCTGTGCTACCACTATTCCTCACCAGCCCGAAATCACCTGCACACAGACTCATCACCTCAAACCACATTTAAAGGGCTTCCAGCAACCCCTGACACCTGCAATTCCCAAATGCTTACACATCAATAATGTGATTTTGGAATATGGGATACTGACACCCTGCTTCTGAAGGGCTGAGGGAGTCACCCAGCACGTGTGGCTTGGTCCCTGCTTGAGAGGCAGCTCCAGCCAAGGGCCTTGACACATCTTGGGAAGGGAAAATCAGAGCTGGGGAGCTCACTGTGCTTTCCCTGCAGGATAACTCACTACCAGTGAGGACACAGCCTGTAAACTGCTCTTCAGAATTCCAGTGTAAATGGGGAGGCTCGTTCTGTATAACTGACATAACAGAAATACATTTCCTCACAACAGCAATAAAATGCCAATGTGAGCTCTGCAGGTACAGTACACTGTTTTAATAAATGGTTTTGTCCCTCCTGTAATGAGAGCTTGTGCTCACATCAGGTGATTCCACTTACTTTAAGTCAGCCTTGGAAAAATTAATTGTTTTCTTTAAATACAGGTTTGTTATGTGCAGAATTTGACCTGGATCTGTGAAATGATCAGTACTGGGACACTGTTACTGTCCCACTAAATCCTTTCTTCCTAACCTTAAATTCCTCATCTGGATGGCTCCCCCCATAAGAAGGTTTAAATATGGATTTCTGCTTTAACAAACATCACGTTGGCACAGAAATTTTAACATTTACTTCTAACACAGTTCACCTACAAACAAGAGAAAATCTGAAACACAAATAAAGTATCACAGCAAGAGAATTTAACTCCTTGCTTTGCCAGACCATTACACAAAGTCTTAGGACATGCTCTGAAAGCATCAAAAAGAAAAGTCCTTCATGAATGAGAGATGTGAAACAAGGACAAGAAATCCAAAACTCGGATCCTGAGCCATTACACAAAGTATCAAAAAGAAAAGTGCCTCATGAATGAGAGATGTGAAACAAGGACAAGAAATCCAAAACTCAGATCCTGACAAAAAACCAGAAGGGAACAGCTGCATAAAAACTGCCAAAATCCGAAGCAAATAATTTCTGGGCTAGAAGTCACTTAAGCCTGCATCATTTAGTAAATCAGAGAGGCAGAAAATTCTGACCCCACCAGACTATTTCACTGCTGCAGTGGATCCTGACAAAACCAGAAGGGAACAGTTGTATAAAAACCATCAAAATCCAAGGCAAATAATTTCTAGAAGCACTGGGCTAGAAGTCACATAAGCCTGCATCATTTAGTAAATCAGAGAGGCTGAAAATTCTGACCCCACCAGACTATTTCACTGCTGCAGTTAAATCAGAAATCCCTGCATGCTAGAGCCTGCTCACTCACCTGTACTGCTGCTCCAGCCCAAACAGTTTTCCAGCAGCACAGTGCTGACAGAATCTTTCACGCAGGATTTTCTGCACCTAGGGATGGAACACAGCACAGGAAAAATGTCTGGGGCTCCAAACGCCAGAATTTACCAACAATGTAACTACAGCAACAAAATAACAGTAAATTAGGCACTTCTGTGGTGTTACAAATATTCCACAACACATAAATCTTTACTGTCATCAAGGATACGAGGGTCTTGAAAGTAAGAATAAAGTTGCAGGAGGCAGAATATTGTATAAATATTATATAAAGGAGAAAAAGCAGTTAGAAGGTATTAAAATATATAAGAAATCACTGATCCAGGGCTAATTCCTTGCAAGATGCATTGCAGTTTTTAACCAGCAACTTTGGGATAAGAGGAGAATAAAGGTTTTAAAAAACAAACAAACTAAGAAGTAATTTGGCAGCTGCTGTCCTGCTGCCAAAAATGTCACCTGGGTTCTGATTCACCCTACAAACTGGAAGATAAAAAACTTAAGTGGATAAAAATAAATTTATGCAAATCTGTTGCCACAAACAGTTACAAATGCACAAGACCATCCTTTAAGTTTTTTACTACATTATTACTGCAACACCTGAAGCACCCAACAGGTGGGAAGCTGAAAGAATTACAGATACAAAAGCCATTTAGTGCCCTAACAATTGTATCCTGCATCTGTACAAGTCTTTCTAAATAGGAAGGAAAAAAAAAAAAAAAAAAAAACACAAAAACATGAA